ATATATATATATATATATATTTTAGCTCTACAAATGTCTTGTTTTTCTTTTAAAGTCATTGCTTATATTTATAATAACCATTTTAAATTTAAGGACTTCACCTTTGTCATTTCTGGGTCTGTCTCTACCTTCTGAGTTCTCTCCTTGGTAGAGAATTCAGGCTGGTCTGCTCCTTTATATCACCACCCTAGGCTGAGCCAACAGATTATGCTTTCTGTTACTGTTTTTCCTATTAAGTAACTTTCTTCTGTGTACCCATCTAACACTCTTCTGAAAAATAAGGGAACATAGATTATTTGATTAACTAAATATTAAATCCTAATTTGAGCAATAAAACAACTAAAATTGGGTTATTCTCTGAGACAGGAGATACTTTTATTTTTCCATTTTTCTGATGTATACATTTCCTGGTGAAGGTACTTGCTGTAATTAATCCTTGTTCCTTTCTATTATGCAACAAAACCATTTTGGAATTCCAGCAACGTATGTTAATGGTCCTAGGAAAATTTGAGGATCTTTTGTAAACACATGGCAGCCACTCATGAACTGGTTGGAGGCTGATAGGCAACATGTTATCTCAGCAGTGTCTAATTTAAGAGTGGATGGGGTTAAAGCAGACTATATGGGACTTTTAATACAATAAAATATCTGAGTAATTTACTCTCCTGGATATATATAACACACTACAGGAATCTTCTGTATTAAATTCTTGAGTGTTCTGAATGTTGTAGAGACGTTTAAAAACTGTTTCCAGATTGATAGGTTGTATGATTGGAAAAAGAGCCCCGACTCTGATGTGGCTGCTACTTTAAAGAAGCAGAAGAAGAATACAAAAGATGAATTTGAGGAGCGAGCAAAGGCTATTATTGTGGAATTTGCACAGCAGGTAAGAAGCTTCTCCTTCTTTACGAAAAGCCTACATCATAGAATAGATTTTTCTTTATTATTTTTATAACAAAGCCAGCATTTCCCTTAACACTGATTCTGTTCCCTTATTAATGACAGTATTTTCATTCTTTTTTCTCTTCTCCTTTTAAACCAGAAAGCTGATATTTCAAAGATCTTTATTTGTAGTCTGAATGTTTCAATTTTAAAGACCTATTTGACTTGGAAAGAAACAACTTTTCTGTAATATAGTTATTAGCACCTGCAGGATGTACATGATCTTTTCCTGAGTGTTTTTGAGGAGTTTCAGAATGATTAGCCATTGGCTCATCCAGCTTCTAGTCAGTCATTTCTGTTCTCAGTACCTCCTTCCAAGGTTGGCCTTGGCAATGATTGTCCTGGTTAATGTCCTAGGGTTTGAATGCAGCCTTGTTCTATGAGAACAAAGATCCCCGCACTTTTGTGTCCTTGGTACCTACCTCTGCACATACTGGTGATG